TTAATTAGTTCCAAAATTAGCAAGAAAGGGGGAAACGAGCACCCTAATACTTTCCTTAGGAAATTGTAAAATGCTGCAACATCTAAAGGAAATTAGCCTTTTGTCTGTTGCACAGTAGGAAGCAAATAGATATTAGATAGCCGAAACCGGTTTGGCTCAGTGGATAGAGCGTCGGCCTGCGGACTGAAGGGTCCCAGGTTCGATTCCGGTCAAGGGCATGTACCTGGGTTGCGGACACATCCCCAGTAGGAGATGTGCAAGAGGCAGCTGATTGATGTTTCTCTCTCATCGATGTTTCTGACTCTCTATCTCTCTCCCTTCCTCTCTGTAAAAAATCAATAAAATATATATTTTTTAAAAAATAGATATTAGATAAATGAAAAAAAAATGTACGTCCACTCTCACAGATGCTGTCCTCATACATATAATTTGATATACTTTTGTAAATGTAAGCAAATTAATTAGCAATCAAATTAATTTCTGACACTCAGATTCAGTGCTTTTTAATTAGAGCCAAAATTAGGAACTTCAATCGTGGTATCATTACTTGAACAGGTTAAGTCTTGTAGAGATCTCATCCTCATACATTATCAAGACTGAGAAAGCTTCCAGCCCCCTCCCCCTTCCCCAAGCAGAAGGAACAAGAGGGTAGGCTACAAAAAGAACTGACCTACCAATAGAATCAGTTCCTGATGCCCAATATCTCAGGCCGAAGGTGAATCTTGGTCATAGAGTATGAGTGGATTGGAGGGAGTCATCCAGGTAATAAATGACAAAACCTGAACTAAGATAGGAACACAAGCTATACCTAAAAGATAGATTTGGGTGACACCAAGGATATCGCTGTATGGATGTGCAGGTATGTATTGTAAAGCATCTAGGTGACTCCCAGATCTTTGACTTAGAAAATAAGCAAATTCATTTTATGATGCCCCATTTAAAATGAATTGAAAGAAGCATTATTCACAAGTTTGTTTCTTAAACCAAAACTCCTGAGTTTGACTCCAATTTCTGTTGCATGCCAACTATGTGAGACCTTGCCCAAGTTACTCCATTTCTCTTTGTCTAGATTTCCTCAAATCTAAAATAAGAATAATAAGTGTCTACTTCATAGGGTTGACATGGGGATTAAATAAATTAATATCTTAGTGCTTCGTATCAAGTGCTCAGGACAGTGCCATGAATATAGCAAGTGCTATATGTTTGTTAGATTATCAATAGTATTAGTTTAAGGATTTGAAATATTTATCTTTGTTGAAAATTCATAATAACAACTCATGTGCCCATATTTGTCTTCAGGACCACAGACAATGAATACATGATGACAAAGGCTGTGATGCACTCAGAAGGAGACTATGGCTCAGCTGGAATCTGTTCTTGCTCAGTCAGGGTAATGATCGGAGAGCTACAAAGTGAACACACATTTTGTGAAAACAGCTCTCTTTATCCATGTGCTACTGTATCTCTTATAGGCAGAATGTACCCCTACTCTCCCAATACCCATTTCAGACAAATAGTATATTTAGGCTGCTCTCAATATCATGTGAATAATTGTCAATCCCTCCTCATGTTTTGCCCTATCCTCTCTCAAACTCTTCCTCCTTTTCTAGCTATTTTATGGCAAAGTGCTCTCTCTCCTTTGACCTCATAACAATGAGAACTTATATTACTTCAGCCAGCCATTCTTTTTGTTAATTTCTTTATTGATTAAGGTATTACATATGTGTCCTTATCCCCCCATTACTCCCTCTATCCCCCACACTCATGCCCTCACCCCCCTGTTGTTTGTGTCCATTGGTTAGGCCTATATGCATGCATACAAGTCCTTTGGTTAATCTCTCCCCGCTTACCCCCACCTTCCCCTGCCTTCCCTCTGAGGTTTTTTTGTTGTTGTTTTTATTTAAAATCTTTAGTTTCTTTATTGGTTAAGGTATTACCAATGTGCTTAGCTATGGTGAATTGTGCTCCTATGAACATAGGGGTGCATATATCCTTTCTGATTGGTGTTTCTGGTTTCTTGGGATATATTCCTAGAAGTGGGATCACTGGGTCAAATGGGAGCTCCATTTTTAGTTTTTTGAGGAAACTCCATACTGTTCTCCACAGTGTCAGCCAGCCATTCTTACATGAATCTATCTTTTTGTTTTATTCACCACATTTTCAAACTAAATGTTTTTTAAAAAATCAAACTTGAGGTGGGCAATGAGGATACAATCTTATACTGCTTGTTACCCCTGCGGTTATTTTCTGTAGTATAAAACACAGTAGATGTCGCATAAATATGTATTCATTGGTTGAAAGATAATAGCTTTCCTCAATGATAAAGACAGACATAGGATGAGATTTAATTGAAGATTCCAGAATTAAAACAAATATCACTAGGGACAACTTCTAAAAGGGTTTGCCCTCTATTCAGTATAGGTTAGTTCCTATGTTCACTAGCTACAAATCTCAAGGTCATTCCTTTCTCATAGACTTCACTACCAGGTTCATAGGTTTCCTCTCCATCCTCCTGCTAGTCATTATCCTTAGAGCTTCAACATCTATGCTGGCCACTCCCCAAATATCTGGCCTCATAGTGAGTACCTTTACCTACCTAACCCTAGAAATCTTCATTCATTCTCCACTTGTTTGCTAATACATTTTTATCACACCACCTTCTTTTATTAACCTAACAATAACTTGACAATTGTTTTACAATAATGTTTAAAAATATAATATCTAGAGTTATTCAAACTTGCTGAAACCTCTATTTGGGAACTTACTAGCTATATAATACAGAACAAGTCAGGTAACTTTTGAGAGACAATTCTCCATGGCATTTCTGTCCATCTTATAGCAGGTTTAATTCTGCACTATCTCTACAAGTATGTTAGTATAGCAAACAGCCTTGGAAGATACAAAGAGTATCTCCCTCTAGGATGGAAGGCAGATCTGTTTTCTGACCAAGATAATAAAGATACTGTCTCCTTTTGTGACAAATGTTAAGCAGGTTTGCTAGCAGCCTCTTACAAGATTGGAGGATTCCTAAGTTTAGAGTTCTCAGCAATGATACAACTCCGCTATATGCTGCATTCAACAGGGCCACTCTGTATCGCCCCAATGGGACTCGAGGGGCAAAGAACCATGAAGCTTTTGCCAGCTGCCATGAGTAATGAGGTCATCTGTGTCTGGCTTGGGAGTCTTTTGTTTCTGCTAGCATCCATGAACGCGTGGCTGGCTAACTTCTTAGCTTGTGAGAAGGGTAAGAAGGGTAAGATCTCAGGCCTGTCACAGTTCGTGATGATAACTTCTTTATGCCTCAGCTTCCCCTGCCTGTAGAATGAAGGGGGGGGGGGTGTTTAGAACGAGCCTGAGCCTTGCAGCTGGACTGTTCAACAGTATTTGGTGACTTACTGCCTCCTTGCCAAACCAAAGTTCATGTTTTCCAGCTCAGCTCTCGCTGGTGGCTCTGTGGCATTGACACCATAAATCATTCTCTCCTTCTTGAAAGTTTCCAATCCCTAGACGGTGAGTCTGAATTAAACTTGTTTTCTTCCTACATTTCTCTCTTTAAAAAAGAGATTATTCATAAAATCCATTCAATACACTCCATCCCAAACACCATTTAAATAAATGGTGGAATTTATTTAAATTCCCCCAAACTGACTGGACAGACAGCAAAGACCTGAATAAAAGCTTGATGCTAAAAAAAAAAAAGAAAGAAAGAAAGAAAAATAATATATAGGGTGGAGCAATAGGAGGTTTACAATTATGAGTATGCAAAACACAAGAGTTTATTCTTGTTATTATTTATTAATATTGTATTATTTTCCACACAAACAACCACAAACCTACTTTTGCCCCACCCTGTATAAAATTCTGAAGGCTTTTAATTTGGAAGCAAACATCTGAGGAATCTATATGCCATCCTGAAAAGTCACACACACACAAAAGGAGAATGTTTTGCAAATGTCCTAAGACAGTCTTAAATTTCCACAAAATACTCATTAACAATACAGCAACAGAAATCCAAGTTTGTTTTTAATAGAGGAAGAAAAAAGCAGAAATCGGAATGAGGAGGTGGACGGAGTCAAAGGATCTTTATCAAAAGGAGTTAAGAGTTATGAGAAACCTAGGAAATGTCGAGTCACTTAATTATGTATTAGTTATTCTCTGATGTTTAATCTTAATTAAATATTTGCAAAAAATTACTGAAAAGAAAACAAGGGAAATGGTGGTTGTAAGCTATGTGGCCAAATGACCACTGAAACACAGGGAGGAATGATGGAAAGAAGACAAACTTTTACCATCAACAGATCCCAGGGAATCCCAGCTCCAGCTGTCAGTGGTCTTAAGAATTTGTGATGTAGTACTTTCAACAATTAATATTTTTAAACATTTAAAAATTGCCTGGCTGGCATGGCTCAGTGGTTGAACATCGACCTATGAACCAGGAGGTCAATGGTTTGATTTCCAGTCAGGGCAAATGCCTGGGTTGCAGGCTCGATTCCCAGTGTGGGGTGTGAAGGAGGCAACCAATCCATGATTCTCTCCCATCATTGATGTTTCTGTCTCTTTCTCCCTTCCTCTCTGAAATAAGTAAAAATATATTATTTTTTTTAATTTTAAAATTTTTAAAAGGAACTGGCATTAGTTACTTAACTTCACCAAACTTCAATTTACTCACTTCCCAAATCGGGTAAGACTATCCACCTTGAAGTATTATTGATGGGTTACCTCAATAAATTGTATCTATGGTAAGTATAACTATTGCAAGATCGAAACACTGAAGAATCACCTCTTCAGAAATTAATAAAAGAACTGAGGGACATTTCTAAATATTTCCCTAAAGGACATAAAAGGGTATCATGAGGTACTATATATACTCGCCAAATATAGCAGAGAGAACTTAAACTCTGGCTTCACGAAAACTCCAGGTGCAGAAAATCCCTTCGTGTCAGACTTGCCTAACTCAGCGTTAGTCTTAGAAAACCACTTGCTTGATGTGGTGAACTCACCTGTAACAGGAAGTCAAAGAGGGCCATCTTGGACCACTCATGGTGATGCACCGCAGTACAACCCCACTCGGGTCTGGGTGCGCGGCCATGCTGCCAGCACTTCTGCTTTAGCAGCTGCTGGTAGGCTCCCCAGGTGAGCTTCACAGAAGAGTGGGTCTCGTTACTTGTTGGAGCTAAAGATGGATCCCAGAGAATAACAGGGCAGGGGCGGCCATCTAGGGAATTAAAAAAACAAACATGTTTTCAGCATGCGATTGCTGAGTGAGTGTGTCCTCGGGCAGTCACACATTTTCACAGCTTCAGGCTCTCGCCTGTCAAATGCCAGAGTGTGATCAGACGATATGTTATGATCCCTTTATCTTCTGGGGCTTTAATATTTAATACCTCAATGATGCTTCCTGAGCGAAGTCTTATATAATGGAAGGCATTGTTAGACAATTAGAAATGTTTTTTAAACAGGATACTTGAAAGATGTGGCAGAAATTGGCTACTAACCACCAATAAGAACGTCCTCTGGGTAATGTGGTTTTATTCCACATCTAAAAGTAGGCACCACAAAAAAAGGAAAGGATCCAGACACGTATAATTGTCTATTCAATGTCTGAATGGAACTGCTCTCTATTTGTAATAACAACCGTCTGATTTTCTGAGGCTGCTTTATGATGTCAGGAAGAAAAAGAATTTTCAGAAGTCGCAAATTTAAAAGTGAAACTGTATGGTTCACAACCGTCACCACAATCTCCAAAGAAAAAGAAGCAAGAGTGAGTTTTTTCTTCTTTGATAAAAACATCAGTGCTCTTGGTAACAGATCATTTACTCACATGTAACCTCACAAAATGTATTTAAGCAAATGTTATTTCTTCAACTGGATAGGTATAGGTGATTTTTTCAAAAAGTCTGTCACTTGAATTGTTTTTGCCTCACTTCAGATAGTTTTAAAATTTCATTGCTAAACTGCATCAAATGACAAGCCTGACAGAAGTCACCATAAACAGTGAAGATCATGATGGGATCCACTGGAGGACACTTCAACCTCAGAACCAATGACATCACTCCCAGGCCCCTGTTTCTGCTGAAGTCACTGAGAGAAGGCATGGGGCAGCTTTGCTTATCACTCAGAAATCAGAATGATGCTCATGGGGGAAAGAAACAAAAAACTAAGTCACAAAGATGTGTAGAAAAAACAAAACAAAACCACTTAACTCACTCTTAACAGGCCTAGGCAATAGAAGCCTCTGAAATTATGACTGGAATGTCTAGACACATCACAGGAATTTTTAAAAGCCATCTATAATAATAAAAGCATAATATGCTAATTAGACTGGACAGCCGAACAACCTTCCAGACGTCATTCTGGATGTCCTTTGGGACGAAGCCATGGCAGTGGGGGCCAAGGCAGAGTGGTTAGGGGCGATCAGGCAGGCAGGCAGGCAGATGAGCGGTTAGGAGCCAGCGGTCCCAGATTTCGAGAGGGATGTCCGACTGCCAGTTTAGGCCTAATCCCGGGATTGGGCTTAAACTGGCAGTCGGACATTCCCCTGAGGATCCCAGATTGTGACAGGGTGCAGGCCGGGCTGAGGGACCCCCCCACCCACCATGCACCAGGCCTCTAGTTTAAAATAACCTAAGAGTCTCTCAAAGTATAACTGGTTTCCTTTTTGTTAAAGACTTTTGTTTTCCCACCTTGCTTGCCTGCTTCTTGCTGAGTTTTTATCTCTGGTCTTAAATGCAGGAATTCATCATCTTCTCTAACCATTCTTGAATTTGGGGTTACACTGACCTCAATAATTTTAACAGCATTCACTTAATCATTCTAATCACCTGTATTCTAGTTTTGTTCAAAAAAAGAAAATCTTTCTCCTCTTAGCCTTGAAATTTAGGCCAAGGCATGCCACAGTTATTGACATACAATTTAAGAGGAAAAAAAAACAGAGAGAAAACAAACAAATAAAAAAACTTGAGCCATAAATAAGGAATTTCTTTTTTAACATTACTACTCTCCTTTTTCTTTATTTTTACTTTGTTAAATGCTTTGGGGCTCCTGGGACCTAATTATCTTCTTAGATATAACATAAATCTAATTTTAAATGTATTGCTCCAACTATTATGCCAATTTAAAAATAATAATATATTCCAGACAAAAGCAGTGCATCATGCAGTGAGAGATACATATAAATCAGTGTAAGCAAACATGACCAGAAGACACAACATAGCTTTCAAAGACACGAATACTGCAGACTTCTAAAGATAAACATCCATCGGTCAGGGTCTTTGGACCAAAGTGATACCCAGACAGCTCTTTGCATTCTCAGTGCTAGGAAGTATTCAAAGGGAGGTGAATACTGAAGTTTAACAACACAAGCCAACACATGAGGCAGACAGGCCAGAACAGTTTCCTCGGCAATTCACTTAAGACCCTCAGAGAAATAAGGAAATGATCTACATAAACAATTGAAATAATTGACAGCCTTTCTGGGCTGTCTTTCCTTTCCTTTAGAAACATTTGTTTCTTATTTTCAAACTAATTAAAAGTAAATCTACTCATTTTAAAAAACATGGGAAAACATTAAAAAGTGTAGCTAAGGAAACAAAAACCATCTATAATCTCCTACCCCAGTAGGTTCTGTTATTTGGATATTTACCTCTGGTAGTTTCCCATCCCTTTCTTTCTCACCTGTAGGACAGGTAAGAAAATTAAATTTCTGCCAAAACCGGTTTGGCTCAGTGGATGGAGCGTCGGCCTGCGGACTGAAAGGTCCCAGATTCAATTCCGGTCAAGGGCATGTACCTGGGTTTCGGGCACGTCCCCAGTGGGAGATGTGCAGGAGGCGGCTGGTCGATGTTTCTCTCTTATCGATGTTTCTGACTCTCTATCTCTCTCCCTTCCTCTCTGTGGAAAATCAATAAAATATATTAAAAAGAAAAAGAAAAAGAAAAAAAGAAAATTAAATTTTTGTTTTTAGGTATTTAAGGAGTATAGCTTATGGTTAGAGACCAGACTCTGGAATCCATCAGACCTTTTCAATTCTGGTCACATTACTTCTTAGCCTTGTAGCAGTAGACAAGTTATACAATCTCTCCTTGCCCTTTTCTTCTGTAAAATGAGAGTAAATTATGTACCTTCCAGAAGGACTTTGTTAAGCTAACGGGGTTCACACACTTAAAATTATCAACCTAGTACCTAACATTTGCGGATCTCAGAAAGGTTTTGCTATGATTATTATTACATATATACATTGTGCAATTACATAATTCATCAGTCTTCAACTGGCCTTTATTTGTTTACTAGAGGCCCAGTGCACAGGATTCGTGCACTTGGTGGAGGGGCATGGTCTGCGGGGACCGGCCCACTGTGGGAGCGCCCCTCATCCTGGCCAGCCGAGGGGCTGTGGACCAGCCCTTTGAGCGGCTCATCCTAGTCACCTGAGTGGCGCTCCCACTGTGGGAGCACACTGACCACCAGGGGGCAGCTCCTGCATTGAGTGTTTGCCCCCTGGTGGTAAATGTGTGTCATAGCGACCAGTTGTTTCACTGGTTAATTTGCATATTAGGTTTTTATTATATAGGATTGAGCATCTACTATATACCAAGCATCATTCTGCACTTGAAATAATTAATGCATTTTTTTCTTTCATAAAACTTACATTTCCACGAGGGGAAGGAAGCAACTATTATGCATAGAAAATAAACTATTTGGGATCATCTTTTATATACAATTTGTTATAATTATTTCACTAAATATATCATAGACATTTCTCTTATTATAAAATATTTTTAAATAGAATCACTTTATGATACAGGGATCTAACCCAGTGGTCAATAAACTTGGTTAGAGGACAGATAGTAAATATTTGAATCTTTCAGGGCTACATGGTCTCCGTTGCAACTATTCAACTATGCAAGTGCTCAACGGTTGTAACATGAAAACAATGAAAGACCCAATATCAATAAATGGTCTTGGCTCTGCTCCAATAAAGCTTTATTTCCAGTGTCATAGTAATATTATTATTCTTTTTTCCCAACCATTTAAACTTGCAGAAACCATTTACCACTTACAGGTCATTCAAAAACAGGCAGTAGATCTTTATCCTTCCAGTCTACAAGTACATTGTATTTCATTTACCGCTTCTCTACTTTAGATCATCAAATCTGCTGAATGGCACATTTTCTATACAATTGTTTAAAAAGTTGTTCTCTGACTGCCAAAGGAAGGGAGCTTTTAGCTGATAGGAATACTTGATTTTCAATTAATATTCTGTTTTCCTCTTCACCCATCCATGGTCCCTCAGCAAAATATTTTGAATGTTATCACATGAAGACCTTCCATCCTGCCCGGCTGGGAATCAGGGCGCCTCGGGAAAAGGGGGTTTCCAGGAAGCAAGAAAAAGGCAGGGCGAGCAGCATCCTGCACGCTGAGCGGCGGGTGGCTAGGGGGCCTTTTGACTCACGGGTCTTCTTGCTCTGCATCAGCACCTACGGCCTGCGAGAATACAGCAGTAGTCAGTATGGCTCCAGACCTCAGAGTCATGAGGACTACTGTGAGCATCCCACTTTTTAGAAAATACGGCTGTTAAAAGAATTAACTGAACTTTGCTACGTCTGAAGTGATGACAGGAAAATAGTCTCTGAAAACAGGAAACTGGTTAAAGCAACTTACCCCAAAATTTTTCAGAGAGGAGGAGCATTCATCTCTTCCCGTTCAAGTTTGTCAAAATGATGCAGTAATGTACTCTCTAGAGAAATATTAAGAGTGCAGAGATAAAATTCTAACTGTCAGCGTGGTGCGAAAGCAGGTTTTAAAAGATATGTGGGTGTTCGAGTGAATTAAAGGTGATACAGCTGTCTTTAAAAAATGAGACTGCCGGGAAAGCTGTTTCTACTCCCCAAATCTGAATATTTTCCCTGAATTCTAATGTCCTCTCAAGTTGTTCTTTACTCAAAAGCACAAAGAAGACATTCTTTCCTGAAGATAAACGTGAAAATTCACTGAGAATGAATGCCATGCACAATCTCCTTTGCCTCCTGTGAAATGCCCTTCACTTTGAACACCAGCTGACGGGCTTTGTCGAACTGTAGGTGGATGCTAAGCATGTTGAGAGGACTTGTGAATATCTGTCTGGATTTGTCACTGAGCAAAAATAAGTAACCAATAGCGTGAGCACTGAAATCTAAAGTCTTTTTCTATCACATGGGCCAAGTTCCAAGACTCCTTGTG